GGACGCGCCCCCGCCCCCCCCCTCCCAGCCCCCAGAGCTGGCTGATGGCTGAGACGAGACCGGGCGGCAGCTGGATTATCGAGTCCAGCCGCGGCTCGGGGAGGGTCGCACGGGTTTCGGGCCGACGTTTTTTTGCTCCAAGCGGCGCTGGGTCGGTTTCTGCGTAACGTAAAGGGAGCAGCAAAGATCGCGGCTGACTCTGCTGCGCGGACCCACCGGGGCATGTTTGCTTTGCCGTGGTGGAGGATCAGCCGCCTCTGTCCCTGTTCAAGCAGAGGAAAACTTCAGTCCCTAAACAGCCACAGTTGAAATCAATAGACCTACTTGAAGAGCAGGCTCCCAGTCAGCAAGAGAGAAAAAGGTGCCCTCGATTTTGCTAAAACTGTCGGCTATTAATGCCCTTAATTGCAAATTGTGCCGTAAGTGAGAGAGATTGAAATCTCCCCAACCAAAAGGCATTGAGGTTGGGAAGAATTTCAGTCTCCCCCGTTGAAACGATTCCTTATCTCGTAGTCATGGCTGACCTGGTGCAGGGCTGACCATAACTCCCTCCTCCTTGCTGGCAGGCTGTCCAGGGCACAGGACTAGCGTTTATAGTCTACTCCGAAGCAATCAAAAACATGGAGGTGTCGCAGCTGTATTCGGTGCTCTACTTCGTCATGCTGTTGACACTGGGCATAGGCAGCATGCTGGGAAACACGGCCGCTATCCTCACGCCGCTGACCGACAGCAAGTTCATCGCCACCCGTCTGTCCAAGGAGGTGATCTCAGGTAAGCCGGCGCCGCTTGGTAGCACAGGCCGGGCGAGGTGAGAGCGTCGGTGTAGAAGCTCTGGTGTCCCACAGTCTCTGAGCGTCCCTCTCGCTCCTCACGCGGCGCAGGGTCTATCAATCAATCAGACGTGCTGCCAGAAGCGTTCGCCTGCTCTTGAGAAATGATGTCCGTACACAGCGCTTTCCATTGGGAGAGCTCAAAGCGTTAGGACAACGGCGGCTGTGTCTTTACAGGGCTTCCCAGCACACGTCAGACTGGTAGCTACCGAAATTCAAACGGCCAGGAGAAACGTCAAGCGGCCCTGTAGCCAGGGACGCTTCTGTTTTGCGCTCACACCAGCAGCATCCCGACTTTGAGCCAGCTCATTCTGTGGCCGGAAACAATAAACGCTCCCATGAGAGCGTGGAAGTCTGCCGTCCCTGCTTAAAAACTGTTTTACCACCGTTAACCGGCACGCAGAATTCAAAGGGTCCTTCACGCAGAGAAAAGAGCCCAAAAGAAGCATTTCAGGTCTTTGCACGCGTCAGCCAGAGACCCGGAGTGTTCTGCATGAGCACCCGCGTCGCAACTGAGTAATTCAGTAACACAGACGCACGCGCGCGTGCCCGCCCGCCCAAACCGCGTGCCCTGAAGCGGCAATAGCAGCGGGTGCCTGCGCATACGCTTGGCAAAGCTATAGCTAGGACTCGGTTTCGGGACCGTGCGG